GAGATATATAAGTTAATTTATGTGGGTGGAGAGAGATGGGTGGGTTGGTGTGGGTTGGGATAGATGTATATTTGAGTGTGTGTGGGGGAGATAGATGGATCTGTGTAGGTTGGGATAACTGTGTTTTTCAGTGTGGGTGAGGAGAGATGGGTGGGTCGGTGTGGGTTGGGATAGATGTATATTTGAGTGTGTGTGGGGGAGATAGATGGATCTGTGTAGGTTGGGATAACTGTGTTTTTCAGTGTGGGTGAGGAGAGATGGATGGATCGGTGTGGGTTAGGAAAGATGTATATTTCAGTATGGGTGAGCGGTATGGGACGTGATGACATAGACTTCAGACTCATCTCTTGAACTCACCCTACCTGCTTGCAGTTGATCACTCACCAGGTGCAGCCCGACCTCGATGAGCTGGATCTAAACATGGAGAAGGATGAGGATGGAGAGAGCACCAAGTCCGAGGTGAAGCTCGGAAGGCTTCAGTTTAAACTCGACTACGACTTCCAGCAGAACCAGGTAGGTGGCGCTGCCGACGCGAGCGACCTTCCAGTAGGTGGCGCCGTCAACGCGAGTGACCTTCCAGTAGGTGGGGGCGTTGTCGACTGCCTGTGGCGGAAGGTGGGGTACGTGCCCGCGGAGTGGCTGTTAGTGTAGTGACATTGATGTAGTGGTCGCTCTTACAGGATTCAGTGTCTGTGACTGTAGGTCTCACGTGAAGAAGGCATTTGAAGTGCAAGCAGTGGGATAGTTTGCGGCATATATGTTGGACTTGTATTGGATGCGGGAAAGATGGGTGGGTGAGAATATAAGATTTTAATTTATTGTGGGTGGAGATATATAAGTTATATTTTACCTTGTTTGTCATTTTCTTTGTTTTCTTCTCCTTGTTTTATTTTTCTTCATATCGGCTTTGTTTGTCATCTTTCATTATATTTCTTTTATTTTGCTTCTTTATCTTCGTCCTCGTCTTCTTTTTTTGAGCGGGTCTACGCCAGGGATCGAAATAAGCGATGGTCCGATGGTCCGAGGCCATCAAATAATCAGGAGGACCATCAGATTTTCAAAGTCAATGGTCCGATGGACCATTGAATATTTTGGTCTCATTTTACGGTAATTTTCTTTGAAGTTTCCACGTTCCAATATACTATTAAAGTCAATAAACAATTACTGTATCGTTTGATACATTCATTGTTACATGTAGGTGAATAATTAAACCATTTTATCACCATGTAAAATCTCTTTCTTACGCTTGCACCCCGCATTACTTTTAGAGAACAATTTCAAATTTAGGAGGACCATCTAAAATTTAGGAGGACCATCTAAATTTCAAACTAGATGGTCTTGTGGACCATCTCTTTTTTTCTCTTTGTTTCTACCCCTGTACGCCCATCTGGCACCCTCCCGACAGTAAAGTAACAATAGTGTATACTCCTATGTAATTCCATTCATCCTATCTTAACAATAATTACCCGTACTCTCAAAAATCTCGATCCACCTGAGTTTTTCGATTTGACATTCAATAATAGATTCTTTTAATGTTCCTTTATAATGTTGTGTTTTTCATCGTCGCTCTCTTTTCCATCATTTTCATTTGTTGTTGTTGGGTTTGGTTATTGGGAATTTTGGGCGTATTGCACGTGTTCCTTAACTCACTATTCTCTTCTGTAGCCGTTGGTGGTGTCTAGACTGCATTTTGTTAAGCTTTCAAATCGGGTTTTGGCATTGTGGTAACATGTCGCTGGTTCTATTATGCTGCCGAGAAAACATCTGTTCGACAAGCACATCACTGCAATCGCTAACAATTAAAGGTAATGGTTGCTTCTATCCTCCTCTCTGCATGCGCCGGCGAAATGCGGCTATGTGTGTGGCTGAGTCGTCGTCTTTATACTTGCTCAGTGTCGTGTGTGTTTGGGGGCATTTCTTTATTGTTGGTGTGGCATAGATAGGAGAGATGGGGGATTCGTGGATGGAGAGAGGTGGGAGCGCGTTTCTGCGGATTGAGAGTTGGATGACTTGTATGGATGGGGAAGATGGGGTGGGTGGAGAAATAAGAGTTTAATTTATGTGGGTGGAGATATATAAGTTAATTTATGTGGGTGGAGAGAGATGGGTGGGTCGCGGTGTGGGTTGGCGATAGACTGTATATTTGAGTGTGTTGGGGGAGATAGATGGATCCTGTGTAGGTTGAGGATACTGTGTTTTCAGTGTGGGTGAGGAGAGATGGGATGGATCGATGTGGGTAGGAAAAAATGTATATTTCAGTATGGGTTGGCGGTATGGGACGTTGATGACATTAGACTTCAGGACTCATCTCTGGCAGGCGTCACCCTACCTGCTTGCAGTTGATCACTCACCAGCGGTGCAGCCTGACCTCGATGAGCTGGATCTAAACATGGAGAGGATGAGGATGGAAGGAGCACCAAGTCCGAGGTTGGAAGGCCTCGGGAAGGCTTCAGTTCAAACTCGACTACGCTGTCAGGCAGAACCAGTGTAGTGGCGCTGCCAACGCGAGTGACTTTCCAGTAGGTGGCGCGCCGGGTGTCGACGCGAGGACTTCTTATTTAGGCGGGCCGCCTGTCGACGCGAGCGACCTGTCCAGTATGGCGCTGTCGACGCGAGCGGCATTCCAGTAGGTGGGCCGTCAACGCGGAGTGACCTTCCAAGTTAGGTGGCGTGTCGGAATGCCTGTGGCGAAGGTGGGTGCCGCTGGCGTGGGCTGTTAGTGTATTGGCAAATTTGTGTAGTGGCCCGCTCTTACAGGATCCAGTGTTTGTGACTGCTAGGTCTCACGTGAAGAAGGCATTTGAAGTCATGCAAGCAGTGGATAGTTGCGGCTATATATATATATATATGGTGTGTATATATATATAGGTATTTACTTGCAATGTGAGGGGGTATTGGAGGCGTCATTACCTTGCTTCTCTGCGGATGCCTGCCTCGTCACGTTGCTCGCCTTCCTTTGGCGCTCTGCTGCCGATTTATAGGAATAGAGTGCGAAGAATGTATTGAGAGAGTCACGAAGTATAGAAACGAGTGTGAGATGCTAATGTGGAGAGAGTACGAGTATAGAATTTAGAGTGCGCAGATTGTATGTGATGAGAGTACGGAGTATTTAGAATAGAGTGTGGATGTATGTGATGAGAGTACGAGTATAGATAGAGTGGAGATGTATGTCCGAGAGAGTACGAGTATAGAATAGAGTGCGAATGTATGTGAGAGAGTTACGAGGTATTAGAAGAGTGCGAGATGATATTAGGAGAGAGTACGGAGTATAGAATAGGAGTGCGAGATGTATGTGGAGAGGAGTACGAGTATGAATGAGTGTGAGATGTATTTGTGAGAGAGTACGCAGTATTAAGAATAGAGTGGCGAGATGTATGTGAGAGAGAGTACGAGTATAGAATAGAAGTGTGAGATGCTGTATGTGAGAGAGTAACGAGTATGAATAGAGTGCGAGATGTATGTGAGAGAGTACTGAGATAGAATAGAGTGCGAGATGTATGTGAGAGAGTCGGGTATAGAATAGAGTGTGAGATGTATGTGAGAGAGTACGAGTATAGAATTAGAGTGCGAGATGTTATGTGAGAGAGTCGAGTATAGAAAAGTGTGAGATGTATCGTGAGAGAGTACGAGTATTAGAAGTAGAGTGCGAGCATGTATGTGAGAGAGTACGGTAGTAGAATTTAGGAGGTGCGAGATTGTATGTGAGAGAGTACGAGTAGTTAGAATAGGAGTGTGAGATGTTGTGAAGAGATACGAGTATAGAATAGGGGAGTGTGGAGAGTGTGTGAAGGCAGTACGAGTATAGAATAGAGGTGCGGAGAATGTATGTGAGAGAGTACGGAGTATAGAACTAAGTGTGAGATGTATGTGAGAGGAGTACGAGTATAGTATGGAGTGGTGAGATGATGGAGAGAGTCGAGTATTAGAATAGAGTGAGGAGATGTTTATGGGGGAGTACGAGTGATAGAATAGACGCCAATGTCGAGAATGTATGTGAGAGAGTACGAGTATTAGAATTAGAGTGTGAGATGTATGTGGGAGAGTTACGAGTAGGGGGGGGAATAAGTGCGAATTGGTATTTGAGAGAGTACGAGTATAGAATAGGAGTGCGAGTGTATGTGAAGAGAGTACGAGTACCGTAGAATAGAGTGCGAGTGTATGTGAGAGAGTACGAGTAAGAATAGAGACTGTGAGATGTATTAGGAGAGAGTCACGAGTATAGAAAGTTAGAAGTGCGAGATGTATTGAGAGAGACGAGTATAAGAATAGAGTGCGAGATGTAGTGAGGAGAGTACGAGTATAGAATAGACGGTGCGAGATGTATGTGAGAGAGTACGAGTATTTAGATAGAGTGCGAGATGTATGTGAGAGAGTAGAGTATAGAATGAGTGTGAGATGTAACGCTTGTGACGAGGAGTACGAGTATAGATAGGTGTGAAGATGTATGTGAGAGAGTCACGAGCTATAGAATAGAGTGTGAGATGTATGTGAGAGAGTACGAGTATGAATAGAGTGTGAGATGTATCTGGAGAGAGTACGAGTATAAGAATGAGTCGCGAGAGGGTGTATCAGGAGAGACGAGTACGAGTATTGAAATAGAGTCGCCGAGATGTAGATTGTGAGAGAGTACGAGTATTAGAATTAGGTAGCCGAGATGAGCCTGTGAGGAGATACGAGTATAGGAATAGAGTGCGAGATGTGATGTGAAGAGAGTACGGTATTAGAATAGACGTGTTTTGAGATGTATTGTGAGAGAGTACGGTATAGAATAGAGTGTGAGATGTTGCTGAGAGCAGTACGAGATACTAGAATACGAGCTTGCGGAGATGTTATGTGAGAGAGTACGAGTACTAGATTAGGGTGCGAGATGTATAGGAGGGAGAGTACGAGGATAAGAAATAGAGTGCGAGATGTATGTGAGAGAGTATGAGTATAGAATAGAGTGCGAGATGTATGTGAGAGAGTACGAGTATAGAATAGAGTGCGAGATGTATGTGAGAGAGTATGAGTATAGAATAGAGTGCGAGATGTATGTGAGAGAGTATGAGTATAGAATAGAGTGCGAGATGTATAGGAGCCGAGAGAGTATGAGCATATAGTAGACAGGGCCGTAGCTAGCCGGGTGGGGGGGGGGCACAGGGGCAGTTTCCCCGTTCAGAAAAAAAGTATACAGAATATATGATCAAATGCAGTCATCTTCCCAGAACATACAACCAGGAGCGAATAATAGAGATAATCTCTATTATAGATATATTATATAGAATCTCTATATAGATTCTATAGAATCTCAATAGACTCTCTATAGAATCTATATAGAGATTCTATATAGATTCTATAGAGAGTCTATTGAGATTCTATAATCTCTATTATTCACTACTGATACAATCAAGAGCTAATAATACCTGCATACTATGTATATATATATAATATACTATATATATATAATATACTAAGCATACAAATTACAATGTACATGGCTTGCCCCCCAGGAAAAATGGGTTAGCTACGCTTCT